AGTGAGGCAAGCGTGTTTTGGAAATTATAGTGTAAAAAAATGTTTAAATAATATGTCAAAGACTGTAATAAATAATGTACGATCGATGTAAGATGATCAAAACAAAAATGGAAATTTCTTGTTTAAAAGTGATTCATTTCGTAGCAGCAAAATGAAACTGTTTTACAATCTTATGATCAAAATGCACCAAAAAATAATGAAAAACGTGTTTAAATTACGAATTGAATCAATAGACGTGTTTACACGTTCCAAAACATTAAAACACTAATTTAACGCATTTTAACGTTCTTATAACAGTTTTTTGTTTGTTTGGGACGTGTCGAATAACCTAATTACTCAACAACGACGAAACAGAGATGTTTTTTTTAGAGATAGACGAAGAAAAAGAAAAAGTTACCATTTTCATAAAATAATTATACATAGAATCGATACCTTTTTCATAATGCAAGTCTAAAATCACAAAAGAAAAAGAAAATGTGCAAATTTACTTTTGCATTCCTTCGATTAATTGTTTTTTCGTTTGTGAAAATTTTTCGGACAAAAACTGTTCTATTTTAGCATAGTGTGCCCTTGTGGTGTAGTGGACAAGCACGTCTCTCTTCTAAAGAGAAGGTCGCCAGTTCGATCCTGGTCAGGGGCGATTTATTTTTTCTAAATCTCTTTTGGTACAACTAAAAGCGTTAAGTTAAATGTATCTAAAATAGAAATAAATGTTTGTGTTGATAAAAGACGAAAGTCTTTTTTATGAATAAGTCTATATAGTTTCTTTTTTTTTAAACCAGTCGTTTTCGATAATGTTGATAAAAACTGTCGGCGTCGACTTCGAGATTTAAGATTTTTTCTTAATTGATAAATAATATCATTATATGTAGACAAACGTATACCGGATTTTGAAGGAACAATACTCTTCAAATTTTCATGTTGATTAATTCGTCGATGACGATTTTTTTTCTGTGAACGATGATGCGGTAATGAAATTAGTTTATTTTGTTTAATACGTTTATTTTGTTTAATACGTTTATTTTGTTTAATGCGTTTATTTTGTTTAATACGTTTATTTTGTTTAATGGATTTATTTTCTTTAATGGATTTATTTTGTTTAATAGGTTTATTTTCTTTAATCGGTTTTTTTTCTTTAATGGATTTATTTTCTTCTGTATGATTAATATCGTCTAAATCATCATCATCATCATCATTATCATCATCATCAGCATGAATATTTTGTGAATGTCTATGTTTCTTCTTCTGATGTTCTTTACTAAAACTCATTTTGTTTCTTCGAATTCGAATATTAATTCTCTGACCACTCTGTGATTTAGTAGAAGAACTTGTTGAATCTTCATTGTTTCTAATATTAGTTCGTTCACTTTTATTTTGATCATCATCATTTTTTTCTTCGCTATTTTCGATAATATCTTGTTTAAGATTAGATTTCATTTGTGAATCTTTTAATGATTTTGTTGTATCTGTTGATGGTATACGTGAAGATGAATCTGTTAAATCATTTGATATTTCTCTGTCTTTTACAACGAGAGAACGTTGAATACGAGCATTTGATGTTAATAATCGAGGAATCCATGTATCTTTTTTCGTCCACATTAAATAGAGCAAGATTAATAAACCCACGATTAATAATGGTCTTGACCAATTGATCTTTTTATACCATGGAGGTTTCTTTATTGGAAGAGGTTTGTTCGGAATTTTTTTCTATAGAAATATATCAAATTAATCAAATTTTCTTATTCAAAACTAATTAAATATTAATGAAAAAGTAGAAGAAAATTATTTTTCTTAGACGTACTGGATGAGTCATAATGATTGCGACAGTTATTATTTTATAAATATCTGAACACAGATAAATCGTATACTATTGATTCTTTTTTTCTTTTATAAAGCTAAATATAAATGAGTTTTTTTGACTGACAAAAGGTAAAGGTCTTCGTGATATCGTCATTTCCTATTACAAAAAATGAGAAAAAAGCTTGAAAAATCTCAAGTAACTAATCTTTTTCTTTGGCTATTTCATCTTCTTCCATGTAATTTGTATGCATTAACCGAGCCAGTTTGGTTAAATTGCTATATCTAACAATGAACTGTAGTACGATGCATCTTATTAGCCAACATACTCAAGAATTCTCAAGTTTTTTTCCTCGTTTTTGTAATGGAAATAATGATATCACGTTGATCTTCACTTTTTCTCATTGAAAAAATTCATCAGAACAATTCAAAGATCTTTTTAATATAAAAGCAATAGAAATTCCACGACATATGAAAAAATGAAACAACTTAAGGTTTTCATGAAGATGTCGGTTAAAGAGGAACTGTACCCACATGCACACCTACCCTCAATGTCATTTTCATTCTTCTTTCTCTAAGTATAATGGGACATTTAACTATCATAGTGTTTCACTTTTAGCCTTACTAAAACAAAATTACTCAAGTAACTCAATAGGGTTTCTCATTATGGTTCATGTAGAGAATTTCACGGGGCATCTTTTAAAAAAAAATCAAGATTATACGAGTTATCTGTGCTGGGATATTTGCAAAATACTAAATGTCACAATCATTATGAGTTATACGGTATTTATCATCCAAGTTTTTATTCTTATCAATAGGTAAAAATCATTTGAGCATTAAAAGAAAACAATTTTGAAGATATTTTAAATTAGCTTTTATTCATTATGAAATAATATATTTATAAAGTGTCTCCAACACCAAATTCAAGTTCTTGTTTTTTTAATTTCTTCAACTATTTTGTTTTTTTTGAAATTCAGCATTTAAAATTCAGTGGAAATAACGGGTGCGGCAGAAAAAATGATCTCCTCAGTATTCTATCTCTAGCTCTTTTTTTCTTTCATCCAAAAAAACATGATTTTATCATAGAAAGATGCATTGTGAAATTCTCTATAAAGTGACCTATTTAATCTTGGCTAAATACTGTTCATAGTAGTTTAAATTGAAATGGTTTCACTTGGAAAAATGATGAGTACTTTCCAAAAATAGTTAATTTATAGTTTTTCTGAATATCGGTTTATTTATCATTTGTTAGTAACTTTCGTTGATAGTTTGTTTTAGTTGAGAAGTAATTTTGGTTTACCAATGCTCGAGAGATGCCTAGACTTCCCTATTTGAGTTGAATCGGTAATTATCGTAATTAGCATGCTATTTCAACAAAGGTCACTAACACATGATAAATAAACTGATATTCAGAAAAACTATAAAATAACTATTTTTGGAAAGTACTCATCATTTTTCCAAGTGAAACCATTTTAATTTAAACTACGATGAACGGTATTTAGCCAAGATTAAGTAGGTCACTTTATAGAAAATTTCATGATGCATCTTTCTATGATAAAATCATGTCTTTTGGATGAAAGGAAAAAAGAGTCAGAGACAAAATACAGAGGGGCAGCATTTATTCTGTCGCACTCGTTACTTTATCAAGTCGAAGGTTGATTCTAAAATTCTGTTGATAGTAACGATCTAAATTAGTTTTATTCGCATGCTTCTAGATCATTTTTGTAACCCTATCGGATTTTTCTATGTTAGTGATCAAGCAAAATATATTATGTCATTTAATTCATTGCGCTATTCGTCATAGAAACATGTGTCACAATGTATTTTCGACATTGTTTGGTTGCTAAAAAAAATCATTGTTTCGAAATTCTGAGTGAAATAAATAAATAATTGCCTGGCAAAACTAAGCTTTTATGTAATAAGATTATCATATTCGGTCAGAACGCTAAAAAATGAGTTGACTGACATATGTTTCGATACTCTTCATCATCTTTTATTTATTTATTTTTTTGATGAAAAATCGAAAAGAACTGAAGTCATAGAAAACAATAAATTTATACGTCAGACGAGTTAGTTTTAGTGGTTTGATTGAATATAATAATCTTTAGTACATAAAAGCTTTAGTTTTAGTGAACAAAAGTCTATTTATTTCGATCAGAATTTGGAAAAAATTAGTTTTCTCAGCAATCAAGCAATGTGTAAACAACAAGCAATGCATACTTCTGTGACGGATGATACGATGAATTAAATGAGATAATATATTTTGTTTCATTACTTATACAGAAAAACTAGATACAATCGTAAAAATGGCCTAGAAACATATGAATAAAACCAATTAAGGTCATCACTACCAACACAATTTTAGGATTAAGTTCAATTTAATAAAGTGTTTTCACTTAATTTTAAGTATTGAGTTTACAAAAAAAAGAAAAAGACTTCCTCTCAGTCCTTCTTTTTTTGCATATTATTCGATCTGAAAAAAAAATTATTGGAAAAAATTAAAAATCACTTTTTTTCTGAATCAGCTTCTCAAACTCCATCGAATTATGTATGAAAAAAAAAACACTTAACTTGAATTTTGTGTTGTGAACATCTTAGAAGAAATATTAAATCGAAGAACAGTTCGAATCATTCTCGTAATTATTTTATTTGATTGTTATATTAAATAAAAGATATAAATCGATTTTCTTAAAAATATCTATACTGTGAGATTTATGTTTTGTTTAAAGAAAATATCATACCTCAGATTCATGTGTTTGTCGTGATTTTTTTGTTTTGCGTTTGCTGCTGCCTTCTGACGACTCATCATCAAGATTCGCACTATCGATTGAAGGAGAATTTATCGATATTAATTTATGATTGGGAATTGTAAGAGAATTTGCCGTTTGGATTGTATCATCATCATCTGTATTAAATGAATAAGTTTTTATCATATGATTCTTTTTTTCACTTCCATTTGAATCTGTAGAATAAACTGTTAAAATATTTTGTGTCATCGTGGATTTTTATAATTAATTCAATATCCTCAAATAAAAAGAAAATTCAAAAAAATTAAGAAAATACTTAATCATTAACAAAGATAAAAAAAAAACAACAGGTGAAAAAGCTTTGCTTCAATCAAAATGATGATTCAACCATGTGTCTCTCGACTAGTTATATATATGTATATAAAACCATCCTTGTTCGTGTACAGTATGCATTTATTCACGCTCGAATGATTTTGAAAAAACAAATATTCATTGATAGAATGGTTTCTCTTCAGACATCAATGCGTATATCAAGGACAGTCAGAGTGATTAAGATAAATGAATAGAATATTTATCAATAATTTTAAAAAATTTTATTTCAAATATATTTCAACATTTTTGCCTAATAAATTTAAAAAAATTGATTTATATTGAACTAGTCAAATGATTATTTGTATTTAAATTAATTTTATTCATTCTAATGAAGAATTTTATTAAAATTTATTTATGTAATTTATCATTTTATTTCATATGAATAAATATTAAGCAACGTACAACAACAAAAAAATAAAAAAATGTGTTATTGAATCATTTTTCATACATTATTCTATTTTTAGCTTTTTATCATCGTTATTCGAACATTTATTTTATTAAATCCATAAGCAATTGTCATTTCGTCTGACATCTTTTTCTTTTATTATTAAACTTGTTTTTATGTAAAACTGTTAATCACAATTAAAAGCAAAAAAATAAATAAATAAATACTTTATTTCATTGATTCAATCAATATCTGAAATAAACATTGAATTTAATTTAGAATAAGAATAAAAAGTAAAGAAGAATATTTCCGTGATGGTATGTATGCTCTTTATTGCATCAAACACTCAATTGTTCAATATTCAGAGAAACTTATTGTGTACATCTATGGAATTTAAAGGCATATATCAACATTCTCAACTAGTTATCTTGATTAATACATATATACTTCATTTATCATGGGCAATTATTCACTTTTTTATACTCATAATTCAACATTTCTTTTATCTATATTTATTTTGGAAGGTCTTCTTTTAAGAATAATTAACAAAAAAAAATCTTTTTTTTATATATTGAACAAATATTTTTAAAGTATGTCATATTTTACGCATCTATCTAATTTTGAAGGTTCATTATTATTGATGAAACTATACAGTGACATGAAAATCAGTCAGACGTGGAGAAATAATAATTTTGTTAAATTACCTTAACTGTTTTCATAACATGTAAATATAATTAAGGTCGTTGTGTCATAAGTTAGATAAAAAAAGCTTTAAGTCGATAAAAAATGTTTTTAGTAGAGTTAAAGCAAGTTACGAACTGGTTTGTATTATATTTTACCTGTGTGAAACAACATAGTGATAGTCAATATTTGATAATGTCTTATTACAAAAACAAAATTTCCATATGACAATGTCAAGTGTGCAGTGAGAGACGACTTCTATAAAATATAATAAAAGAAACGATCAAAAAATCTATGTAAAAAGAAATTTCTATAAATTGACTGATTCAACCTAAAACAATCTGCTCTACTTTTCGATTGTGATAGGATATTAAAAACATGAACATAAACAAATTCTCATAAGTTATTTTACGTTAATTTCATTTTAACCAGATAGAATATATAAAATAAAAGTAGATGTATCGTACTACATCTGTTAAGCGTTCATTTATCATTTTCTAGAGTCTATAAACTTATATATAATTGATTCAGACGAACACAGTCAGTCTATGTATATTCGAATATACTTTTTTTTTTACATGGTCTTTCGATTAGTTCTTGTTCGAGAATACATTGATAAATTGATCAATGATCTTGAATGAACTCTTTTGAACTGCTTTGATCGAGATTAACCTGAGTTGAATCAGTACATCTTTATATTTAACTATTTTAAAATTGAATAATAGATATTTATGATACTTATTAAATAGTTATTAATCATTTTCATAGAAGAATTTTGAAGATACAATGAAGATTATATTTGAATGATGATTAAAAATCTATAGAATTTAGAAAATATACTCTTATTCGTCTAGTATTATTCAGAAAAAAAACAAACAAACAAACAGAAATGAATAATATTAGTTAAATGAAAATTAGCACAAGTGTTTTTTTCAGAAAAGTAATATAAATTACAGTTTATGGAGTCTTAACATGTTGTCCTCATTTGCAAGCCTTATTCTATATTTAAGAAAAAGAAATATTCATAATAAAATAGAAATTTTTCTTTGCAATTTCTTAATTGGACATGTTTTTATTTATCTTGAGAGTATTTCTCAATTTTCTATGCTAATAAATCTAGTTATGGAAATAATTCATCCCTTTTTATTCGCATGCAATATGAACGTCGTCTTGTTTATTGACAGAATGAAAAAAAAAAAGAAAAAAAAAGAAAAGATGAAGAAAAAAGATCGTACTTATTCTGCATTTTTTTCTCTTCAACGATCTTTGTTCATACTCTTAGCCATCTTATACAATCTCATATTCGTAAGTTGTTGCTTTTTCTTCTAGAAAAATGACTGAACATATTGATGGTAGTCGTTTAAATCAAGATCTTCGTTATCGTTTTGAATATATATCAAAATTTATAAATTTTACAAATGATGATATTAAAGCATTGAATACATTAGCAACAATAGCTCTCCCACTTATTCCGGTTATTGTAGATGCTGTATATAGAAAATTATTTCAATTTGATATAACAATACAATTTTTTGTTTTGCGTAAGGATGGTTTTGATGGTCTACCAAAAAATAATCAATCACTTGCATTAGATTCACCACAAATGATATATCGTCGAGACATGTTAAGTGGTTTTTTAAAACGTTTATTATTACAACGTGAATGGACGGATGATTTTCTTCAATATCTTTCTCGAATAGGTCAAATGCATACAAATAAAATTGAATCAGGTTCAATTAATGTTGATTATATACATTTGAATGCAACATTAACTTATATTGAAACATTGATTATTGATTCTGTTTGGACAATTGAAACAATTGATAATAAAACAAAAAAAGAAATAATAATAGCAATTAATAAAGCATTTAGAATTCAAAATGATTTATTTGTTTTACATTATCTTGAATCAACATCAAAAGAAACAAATCCATCAATATCTTCAACGCATCACAAAACAAATAAATGTATTTCTAGTTAATCGTTTTGTTTTTTTGTTTCGTTGTGTTTGTCGGATAGAAAAAAATAAAAAAGCTTTAAAATATTATGTTCGATGTCATTTTCATTATTAAATAAAAATTAATGTTAACGTTTTTTTTTGTTCTTTATTTTAATTAAGAAAAGATAAATCTGTTGAGACACGAAATGTACATATACGAAAGGAAAGTAGCTGAGAAAGATAATGAGGTAACAATGGAAAGGAAATAGATAGACAAAAAAACATTGATTAAAGTTCACAAAGTGAAAGGAAATACTAAGACACACATGCAATGACGCACAATACAATACTTCGATCAATATGATATCAAACTTAATTAATTTTGTCTTTTTATGGGAAACTATTCTTATACTTAGATTAATTATTATTCATCTGTCATTTTCTCTTCAATAGTATTATTCTTGCATTTAGAATATTCTCATTAATTCTATTTTTATAATTTCCTATCCTAAGGATAATGCCGAAAACGTTTCATATATCAAAATTATATTTGATCTTATAGTTTATTTAGTCTATAGATATATATTTTTAGAAGAATCTTTAGTATTTAATAATTTATTTTCTAAAAAAAATTATTCTTTCCTATGGAAATAAATTTTCTAGATTCCAATCAAATTTAGAATAAGAATCTTGTAAATATAGAAATTTTCCTATGCAGTCAAATAAAAATAGATTTTCACCCTACAACATATAAACATTTCTGTCCTCTCATAAGATCAAATGATATTAAATATAATGTTAACCATTTCGTGAGAATTTTCATTTTATTGTAACTTTGAGACTTACTTTAAATGCTCGATAACATTTACAATGATTTTGTTTTGTTAGTTAGTAGAATTAAACATATTTCGGGTCAAATAAAGAGTCTCTCATCGCTAAACTAAAAAATTTAAGATATCAACTTTGATAGACACATCTCAACTGCGATATTCAAATTTCAAGGTAATTACAATAAAGGTAGAAATTCTATAGCATTATTCACATTCAGTTATTTCTTCTTTGATCAAATGATTCTTCAAAGTAATTATTTAAATCTTATTTTTATTTTCTAAAACGTTTAGTGACATACTTGTTTTTATATCTTGGCTAAGTTTTATAGTGTTCTCATGGAAATAGAATGACTTTGTTTTAGAAGAAAAGTGACTCCTATGAAAGATATACGTGCTTAAAAGACATGAATGCGCCACTTTCCAATTGAGCTAGGAATTGATTATCCTTTAGAATTTATTTATTTTCAAGAGAGAACAAGTTAAAATCGGCAAAAAATAATATAAAAAGCTATATTGTATACCTATTATATCATTATAGAAGTCATTCTACATCTGAAAAATGACAATGAAAATGAATGCATCTTCTCGACGGAAATCTTATATCTATTAGTATATTAATCATTTTTTCCATTGATGTTCCTGAAATAAAAAGCCCCATCTATTAACGATCAATTTATTCTATTCATCTAGAAAATATGTCCTTATTTCATTGATGATCATTTATTCATTAGAAATTGAGTATTATATCTACATCTATGCATGACTATCAATAGTTTAAAAACACAATATAATGTTTTATTCATAAACAATTCTCCATTCTATCGTTTAAAAACAAATTAAATCCGAATTTAAAGCAGTTTAAAAAAGCAGCGAAACATTTGAGGAATTGAGAAACAAACGTATTTTGGTATTCATTTAGCTGTTATTTCCCTTCATAAAGCGTTTCATCATGTGATATTATAATATCATATCGCGGAACACTTTTTATGAGGGGAAATATCAGCTAAACGAATACTTTCTATTCCCAGTCAATTTGTTTTTT